TTACCTCTAACTGGACCTTATCAAATATAATCTTGGAGGAAAATAGGGAACAAGATCATTGAAAAAGCCAGTGAAGGAAAAACGGACGCCCTCAAGAATTTAGCTACATGGAAGGACATTATGATAGCTTTAAATATGCACTACAGAAAGACAAATGCACCCGGGAGAGTGGACTCTACCCCCCTCACTCCTTTCCCCTCAACCCCCCCCCTTCAACCTCAGCCCCCCCATCGACTGCATGGCAGCAGGGGGGGATGCTGGCTTTATGCCAGCGCCCATGGCTGCAGCTGAGACTGTGTTGTACAGAGCAGTAAGCAGTGCTGCTGGAGCTGGGGACCGTTACAGAGCAGCGCCGACCCCGGGACCATTACGGGGTGACCGTTACGCAGCGGTTGCACATTCAACGTGCGGAAGGAGAGTGGCAGCGGAGGCACCACCATGTTGCCCCTGCCACCCGGCAGAAGTGAAGCCACCAACCCCAGGTTCAGGCATTTCGCCGGGAAGGGGGGAGGATGACTATGACGGACAAATGGATGGCGAGTCTATAGAGGACACAGAAGGGGAAACAGCTTCAGGATTGGGCAGGGGTCCCTCCATAGGTTTATGGGATAAATGCAGGGAGGAAGCATCTTGTGTGGGTGACTGAAAAGTAGTAAATGCATGCCCTGTTATACATTGACCCCGGCAAGGCCCCCAATACCAAGGTTTATCATATGATGCGATTAAGGATTTAAGGCAGATAATTAAAGAGAGTGGTGTCTCCTCACCCCACATGTTTTCCTACCTAGAAACCCTAAGTAGCACACATGTGTTTGCACCCCATGACTGGAAGGCACTACTAAAAATGGTACTAACCACTACACAATTTAGTGTATGGCTCACAAACTTTAGAGAAAGCTGTAAGGCTTATATTAATGACCAAACTAACGCTCAAACGAGAATGACTTATGCTCAATTAGTGGGGGAGCGGTCACATTCAAAGCCCGAGTCCCAAATAGACTACCCCCGAGAGATATACGAAGTAATCGCAAATCTTGTATTGAGAACAGTGCGAAAGCTTCCATGCATAGACAAAGACTCTAACCTATCCTTTTCCAAAGTCTTCCAAGGGTCCACTGAACCTTACGCCAAGTTTCTGGATCGACTGCAGGCTTCTTTAGAGACACAAATAGATAATGACGAGGCGAGAGAGATGCTCTTCAAGTAGCTCGCCTACGAAAATGCCAACTCTGACTGTCGAAGGGCCCTGCAGTTGGTCCCCAAGCGCGACCAGTGCACATTACCTGAATTGGTCTGAGCTTGCCAGGATGTCGAGGCAGTCAATCACCATACAGACTCACTAGCCACAGCATTAGCAGCCAAAATGCGTGTACCTGAAGGGGAAAAGGAAAAAGGCAGTTGCTTCCGATGTGGAGCAACTGATCATATTAAAAGACACTGCCCTAAAAAACCCCCAGGGTACTGCCCTCGATGTGGCAAGGGAAAACACTGGGCTAGCGAATGCAAGTTCCAGGGTGGTGTAAAAGCCGGGACTAAACCTCAGGGAAACGGGAGACAGGGCACGAAGCCGTGTGCCCTGACCAACCAGACAAATACGGCTTCAAACAACATGCCAGTGATTTGCTCGCCGCCACCTCAGGCAGCACTGGGCTGGACCTGGTCTCCAGAGACCCAATAGTTTTAACATCTACTGCAGTGGTTTTGATACCCACTGGAGTCTGGGGACCTCTGAAGGCGGGAATGCATGCCTTACTAATTGGGTGCTCACCAACTACCATGATGGGTATATTCATTTTACCCAGAGTAATTGATCCAGATTCTCGTAATGAAATCCAAATCATGGCCTGGACACCTGTGCCGCCCTGTTATATACCAAAAGGGCAGCACTTAGCCTAATTAATTCCTTTCTATAGCACTTCCCCCACACAGAAGGGTAATAAGAGTACTGAGGCATTTGCAGGCACAAATCCCCAACAGATATTCTGGGCCAAGTCGATCTCTGCCTCCCAACCCATGATGACATGTCACATTGATAGGCGTAAATTTAAGGGTTTAGTGGATACAGGCGTAGATGTGTCTATAATTAAAGACACTGAGTGACCATCAGACTGGTCCACTGTGTTCCCCGCCTCGACCATCTTGGGGGTGGGGGGTATGCAAAGACCTAGACAGAGCAAGCATCTGCGTACGGTATAGGGACCTGAGTGACAGCTGTTAGGATTGCACCCTTCATAGCTCCCATTCCATGTACCTTGTGGGGAAGGGATGTCCTCAGTCAATTTGGTACCACTGTACAGATAGCAACAGCAAACAACCAGGTTTTTCAGTAAGGGTCATTGGTCAGTCGTTCCGTGAACTTATCAAACTAAAATGGAAGACAGACAACCTGATATGAGTGGACCAATGGCCCCTGAAGAGGGAACGGCTAGGTCACCTGTGAGACCTCGTACAGGAACAACTAAACGCTGGACATATAGTACCAACTTCTAGCCCATGGAACACTCCGGTGTTTTGCACACCCAAGAAGAGTGGCAAATGGCGTTTACTACAAGACCTCAGAGCAATTAATGCAGCCATCGAGCCAATGGGAACACTGCAACCAGGACTTCCTTCCCCTGCCATGCTACCTGCGGGATGGCCACTAGTAGGAATAGACTTGAAAGACTGGTTTTTTACAATCTTTTTACATCCAGAAGATGCACCTCGCTTCGCCTTTTCAGTTCCAGCCTACAATCATGTGGAACCCATGCAAAGATACCACTGGACAGTACTGCCTCAGGGCATGAAAAACAGCCCAATGATTTGTCAAACAGTGGTAGCCAACATCATACACCCTGTTCGAAAACTCTACCCTTCAGCCATCATCTACCATTATATAGATGACATCCTGATAGCAGCAAAACATGAGACTGAACTACAATCCACCTTGACTGCCTTAACTGATGCCATCCAAAAAGCAGGTCTGCAGCTTGCCCCAGAAAAAATTCAACGCACCCAACCTTGGACCTACCTCGAATGGAGGATCACTCAACAGGAAATCATGCCGCAATCACTGACTTTCAAAGTAATGGACACTATGACCCTGAATGATTTGCAATGGCTTTTAGGAGCCATTAACTGGCTGAGGCCTGTCTTGGGGATCACAACAGAGGAATTATACCCCCTCTTCGAGCTACTTAAAGGTGACCCAACTCTCACATCTATTCAATCCCTAACTCCAGAAGCAAAACAAGCTCTGGAAGTATGCTCCCAGGCCATCGAAAACAGACAAAGCAGACGACGACACCCTGACCCGCATATTTGCCTCGCCATCATATCCAGCAAGTTCCAACCTTTTGCTGTCCTTTTCCAATGGGATCAGGCAGAATCCGACCCTTTGAGAATTCTAGAATGGTTATTTCTTCCCCACTCTCCACCTAAGACTGTTTGGATCATTAATGACATGCTTGCTAAGCTCGTCATGAAAGGTAGAGGACGTCTGCAGGAGATGGACAGAAGGGATCCTGAGATGATCTATGTTCCAGCCACGAAAGACAACTTAGACTGGCTTCTTGCAGAGGACACTGGGTTTCAGACTGTATTAGTGGACTTCCATGGTAATATTTCCATTCACTTCCCGAAACATAAACTCTGGGCGAAAATAGGAAATCTACCCCGATGGCCACGCGTCGCTGCAAACTATGACCAGTAAATGGAGTCACAGTCTTCACTGACACAACTGGACGATCAAGAAAAGCCGCTGTGACATGGAAGAACCCTGCCACAGGACAATGGGACAATAAGGTACAAACCTTGGACCAAGGTTCTGTGCAGGTTTTAGAACTAGTGGCTATCCGCATGGCATTCGAATTGTTCCATGATCAACCTACGAATGTTGTCACAGATTCTCACTATGCAGCAGGGTTGGTCTCACGTCTCAAAGCCTCCTTCTTTCTAGATGTCACTAATCCTCACTTATTCGTACTATATGGTTTCTTATCAACCACAGAAAATTTGATTTTTACGTAATGCACACTCGACCACACACAGAACTTCCAGGACCCATAGCAGAGGGTAATCAAAAAGCTGATGCAACTGCTATGGTAACTACAGTTCCCAAAATTCTAGAACAGGCTAAACTCTCACACCAGTTCTTCCACCAAAATGCACATTCATTAAAGAGACAATTCCAAATTACAATAAACCAAGCCAGAGACATAATTATGTTATGCTCTGACTGCCAGCGGATTGCCCCAATGCCAGTTAAGGAAGGGGTTAATCCCAGGGGCGTAACAGCCAATGAAATCTGGCAGACAGATGTTACACATATAGCTGAATTCGGTAAACTAAAATATGTCCATGTTACAGTAGACATGCATTCCAAATACATTAATGCAACAGCACACATGGGAGAAAAAAACAAAGACGTTATCAGACACTGACTCAGTTGTTTTGCAATCCTAGGAATTCCAAAACCCATAAAAACCAACAATGGCCCTGCTTATTGTTCTGAAAAAATCAAAACATTTCTCACAGATTGAGGGGTACTCCATTCTACAGGTATACTGCATTCACCCACAGGACAAGCGATTGCAGAAAGAGCTCACCGTACACTAGAAGAAATGCTTCAAAGGCAAAAAAGAGGGGAGTTGGTATATAGCCCCCAGGAACGCTTATGGAAAGCGTCATATGTTCTAAATTTCTTAAACTGTGATGATACAGACCATAGCAGGTATGAACGCCAACATAAAACTCAAATACTTTCATCTTCCAAACCACCAGTTATGATCTGGGCAATGGTCAGGACCAGTAGATCTCATAACATGGGGAAGGGGACATGCCTGTGTATCCAAGGGTACCAAATTACAATGGGTCCCTTCTAGATGTGTCAGGCCTTATATTAGCCCTCCCCTACAACAGGAACAATCACCAGAAGAAATAAGTGAAGGATTTGGATTAGAAGAAACATGACCAACAATAGCAAAAGGAACACACCACACAGTGAAAAACATGGTATAAAACAAAAAAAAGGGGAGAAAAAGATATGGGTCTGTTCCCTATGTGTGTAAATCTACATTAACATTTCTTTAAAACAGGGATAATCACAAAGAAGCAGTAAATGATACAACAGAACCAAAAGAAACACATAAACAGTAACCAATACAAAACCAAAACTCCATGAGTCAAACACAACAAAGGGTTTAAGAATGCATGTGTAAGGTGAATCCGAAAAAATCAGTCCAAGAAACTGCTCAGAGACTTTTTTATCTTTAAGCAGCAAGGTATTTGTTTATTCAACGTTGGGAGCAAGCCAGCTCACGCTGGACAAACTTGCTCGAAGGCTTCACACAAAATTGGCATTTTTATACAATCTTCAGATGTGATTAAATGCATATTCAAGTGATTACAACATCTATCTACGCATATTAATAATAGGTGGAGTATAGGTGGAGCTCAGGCGGGGCTTGGGGCGGTGCTTCTCTTGGCCCTCAGTTTTGGTGGGTCTGGGGGCTTAAACTCATCTTCCTCAGCTTGACCTTCCTTCTCTTCCATTGTTCTTGACCCGCTCACTGAAGCTTGGAAAAAGCCCTGGCTCCCAGCCTATTTCTCCTATTCAAATGTCTACTTGATCCTACTGTATTTCTAATTTATTGCTTCTAGACCTATCACAGATTCTTGTACTATTCTCTTAAGCTTTGGTCCAGTAAGTAGAAAAGAACAAGCACAGATCGTTTTGGATGTTGGTATCTTGTTAGTAGGTCCAAAGTTCTTAGTTAACTCTTTTGGGCCTAGCCTCCTGTTTCAAAGGAGAGAATGAAACGGTGGCCACCGGAGTATGAATGAGAAAGTTGAGTGGACGCATGTATGTGTGTGAACGCAAGTACACTTTATAGCAAGACATCTTAAACACTACTTCAAACAACACCACCTCAAACACAACATCTACAACCCAACACATTTCCCTTTTAAATAAAGATGATGCCATTACACAGTTACCCTCAGATAAAAGGTTATCCACACCTACAAACACTGGGTAATTTGAGGTTGCTTGAATATTGCACGAACTAATAAAGTTGTAAACAGTTCAATAAAGGCCTTGTGACAATAGGTCCTGTTTTTTATAATTAGTTGAAATAAGATTGGTTATAACAAGAATGTTAAAAATGTATTGTTTCTCAACTTGCTAATAAAAAGAGGGGGGACATGTGGCAGGAAGAATGTAACAAGGAACTATGGGAGTTGTAGTCTTCCGGGTTCTCATGCATGCTCAGATAATACTTGATTGTCATTGGTTTGAAGGTCATGTGACATGTTTAAGCGTTGAAACCTAAGCAGTTTGAAATAAACGGCAATTCTGCTCTGGCACTCGTTCGTGTCTGAGTAGGGTTCGTGCCCTGATCAACACCTCACTTTTTGCCTTAACAGGGGCAAAGTGTGTGTTGGAAAAGCTTTGAGACCGTTTTGCTCTTGACCTGGTCATCTGTCTGTTCTCTGGCCTCAGCTTGCCTGCGATCTGCTCTGTCGCCAGCTGGATCTGTTCAGATTTCATCGGAGAGGTTTGGCCCATCCTGCAGAGGAACCTTTTGGGAAAGGGGTCGTTCTTTTTCTTTTTCCCTCCTCCGATCCCGTGTTTTGGCAGCAGTTTGTGCTTGTCAAGGAGGGAAGGAGTCCCAACCACAGCCAGCCACAGACAGCATGAGTTTTGTGGGAAAGAAACTGCCCTTCTTTCTCTTTCCCAGTTTCCCCCCTCAGTGGGGAGGAAGACCTCTATTTCGGATTCTCCAGGGCCCCACGCAGTGGCTGCCAGAGCCCAACAGCACCCCCTGCTGGCCAACACTGAGCACTGCAGGCTCTGCACCTTCAGTGATCCAACAGCGGCCCCTGCCCACTGTGATTAGAATCACGCTAGAGGACAGGGAAGTATCAAACTGTTTCTGTTTTGAAGGGGGCTTTCGGGTACAGGATTATTGCTTAGTTGTTTTTATGTTCTGTTGCTGTTTTTGCCAATATATATATCTCTTTTAATAAAGGGTTATTTTTTTCCTTTTTCAATACTTCCTCGATTGGAGCCTCTTAATTTCAGCTTTACAATTGCTGAGAGAGAATAGTTTCAGTCTACCTCTCAACTCATCCTCCTTAGCAAAACACTTCTGTCTCCTTAAACTGAGACAAACGGGTATCCCCAGTTGCCGCAAAGCTCCTTTCTTTCATTTCATCCACTCATACAGAACAATATGGGAATCACTGGCAAGTGTTAGAGCTTGCTGCAGAAGTTCCAACTTTAACGCAGTAAAAAAACCCCCAAAAACCAGAAATAAATAGCAATACCATTGTAAAATTTATGGCCATGAATATATGTTGCACTTTGGACATTAAAATTTATTTTCAGTAATATTTATTTTCTTGTTTTCTCCAGTCCTACCTCTCTTAATCAAAAGCATACAAGACTATCTGAGGACCTAAGTTAGTATGGCTTATGTAACAGTGTTTTCACAGAAATAATGTAATTTTTTTTTTAAGCAGTTGAACTTTCACTGTTGAAAGCACAAGACTTTCAAACAGTTTTTTAATTTTTCTTTCTGTTCAGGCAGTTTTCATGAATATAATTAAAGAAATATTTACCTAACCTATGTGCCAGAGTTCTGTTGAATAGAAACATGAAAATGGGATGATTGAAGGAAGAGGAGGAGTACAGGGAAAGAGATGGAGAAAGACAGTCCATGTTGTGTGGAAGATGAGCTAATGACACCAGATTTCTGCATTTTCACAGCATTTCAGGAACCATAACTACACTTTGGGACCTACTCTGTTTCTGGCTCCCCAGGAAAAGACTGCATTTCCTGCATTCAAAAACATTCTCTGCACACATCATCTCAACTTTAAGACCTGAATAAAGCATAAGCTTCTGGGCTGAGAAAGGTAGAAAGTCAGAATGAAACATACAGATCCTGATTTATTTATTTTTTTTAAAACTAAAGTAATGCACATCAGTGATATGAAGACAGAAACAAAACTCTCATCCGGCAGGAACCTCCAAAAGTTTAATTAATTGTTTAAATTGGTAAATATCACCTACTGGCTAATCCATTTTCCCACTAGATTTCCTCAAAGCCCTAATGCTCAGCACTCCACAGGGTGGAACCCTTTCTTCATCTCTACAACCTCTTTCCCACATGTTCTCATGAACTCCAACTGTTTTAAACCCAAGGCAAGATGTATGAGTAGAATTGCATACTGAAGTTATTTACTGATTTGGACTTGCTGAATGATGTACCAAGTGAGTTTGAGCAAGCACCTAGAATTTGTATCCCCAAAACCAAAACTTGCAGGACTTCAAATTTCTTCTCTCAACAAGGTTTTACTAATGCGTGATGGAACTTTGTAAAAGGAATTAGGGTTTTTTTCTGTAATATTACTGCTGTTCTTGTAGGTTTCTATAAAATGTAGCTCCTTTTTAAAATCCTCTTTAAAAGTTGCACTTGCAGCTGAGTACAAACAGTCGTTATACAGGACATGTCTGAAAACAAAGCCGTATGATTGATGTTCCCAGGTTTCTTCTGTTGAATGACAAATACCTGGACTATGAGCTGTGTTTTTTTGTTTTTCACAGCATGGCCAACAGCCCAGCAATGCAAAACTTCTAAGCTTTTACTTTTAGCAAGAGGAGGAAAAGAATGCCTTTACCATGCCTGACATCCTCGGTCAAAATGAAAGCTGGGAATACCTAATTCTATGAGAGAAACAGCAAAAGGTGCAACTCTGGGCTTCCTCCAGGTGCAAGGTAAAACAAAAGTAGCTGCAATGTCCAATGTGTACTTCAAGCTTTTCAGCTGGGAATTTAGACATGAACAAGCTCATAGCTTGGAGCTTTGGGGAGAAAACTGGTTTGTCTCAGTGAATACTAAAGATGCGAAAATCTTAGCCACAGGTGAAGAGTGTTCACTGAAACACATGGTCAACAAGAAAGGATTGTGTTGGTATTTGTTTCTTTTCCATCAGGGATTTTTGTCGGATGTAGAAGTGCCTGCAAAATTTGTTATTTTTTGTTGAAGAACTGCAGTGTGGGGACTGAATTTGTAAGCAGAACAGAAGTTCTGGAGGCATGCTAAATCTTGAATCTTTTTCTCTCTTATGTAAGAATCCTATTATTTAATATCCCTGAGCATCAAGGCTAGAGATTTTGCTTCTTATCTGCTTCAGTTTTATAAAATTAAAATAAAAATCCCGTAAAAGGCATAAAGCATATACAATAATACATCTGTAACTTAAATTTTCTTGTTTCATCTTATGTTTCAGCAGCAGCAGCAAACCAGAAACTTGATTGCAGCTTTAAAGAAAGATAATTTATTAAGTATAAGAGATAATGGTACATATAGTGCCTAGAGGCAAGAAACCAGACACACAAAAATACAGGCATGGACTGGAGGCTTTCTAACCAGAGTTCTTATGGGAGTAACAATGCTCTAGAGCTGGTTTATTCTCTATGGAACAGCCACTGTACTTATAGACCTTTAAAGAAAAACAACAACAACAAAAAAAACCCAAAAAAACCAGGCGGAGCAGTGTTTCTACATCAAAATGTTTCACTTGGAGTGTGGGACATAAGAGTCCACCCAGAATGGTATCAACCTGAGCATGGAGGTTAAATCAACCACTAAATAATACTGGGGCCACGCCATGATGATGATGAAGTAAAACTGATTTTGTGACCGACTGAAACTTTGTGCAACAGTAAAAATCTGAGTCAGGGTTGTAAACCAATGCAAATTAGCAAATGAAATTTTCAGTATATACTAAACTGCAAGACATCCGTGGTCCTTTAACTCTTTTCAAATTTGGGTTGCTTGGTTGGGAGTGTGTGTTTTTGTACCTTTGTGTATACTAAGGGAGATGTACTCGAAGGAAGAAATTACCAGAAAACAGCTAAATGAGTTACTGTGTTATGTTATGGAACACTGCAGAAATAGAAAGGGGCCTTTGAGGTCCCTGCCAAGCCAAACCATTTTTTGATTCTATGAGACAGACAAAAACAGACACAAAGAAAGACAATTTACAAGGAATACAACAAAAGACCTAGATAAAGGCATTTCCTCACCCTCGTCAGCTTCATTTCCCATGGAACTTTTTATTCTTTGTTTGTTTCTCAGTATGGAGCTAGATCTTTGTCATAAAAAACATATGTCCTTGCAGTTGTCATGAAAGGAATATCTGAAAGGTTAATGTCTGCTTTCATGTGATCAGGGCAAATGAACATTCAGAGGTTTATAGGTTCAAAAAAAACCACCCAAAATGAAAAAACTGATGCCAGTTCCTGCTACTCTTTTTCCAACTTTGAGGGAGGATTTTTAAAGCAACAGTTTTACTTTATTTATCCTGCCTTTCATTCCAGGGAGATCATAGTCTCTAATTTCTGAGTCAGTTTTTCTCCACAGCACACCAACAGCATGAGGACTCCTCAGTTTTCTGCCTACAGGTGAATGAGGCTGCCCCTAATTTGAGACCTGATCCTGAATGGATCCAGCACTTATAACTCTCATTAATATCAAGTAGCATAGAAAGAACACAGAGCTTTGAAACCTCACCATTGCCCTTTGGCAGTGGACTCTTAAAAGGCCAGTCACATTCCGTCCCCTCTGCTCTAATCATTAGGAATTTTCTTCTATCGGTGATCATCCTGTTTACTTTGCTCATGCACCAGGATATCCATGGGAAAAAACAAAAACAAAAACAAAAAAACCCCACAAAAAAACCCCAAAACAAAACAAAACCAAAACCAAAACCAAAAAAAAAACAACCAACCAACCAAACAAACAAAAAACCACAAAAAACCCCTAACCTAAACTAGCTAATCTGTTTCATTATTTTACAAAGGAAAATGTCTAAAATTTCTGTGTTCTTACCTTTCCTTATTTCTGGATTTCAACTTATCACAGTCTGAGATGATGCAAACTCTGCAGATGCTTATCACTTTCTGGTTTTAGTAGCCTAGGATTTATTGAGAGGAAAGTGACTGGGAGAGATGCATCAACAGATGTACTTTCTGCTGAATTGGAAGTGCTATATA